AACGATTTCTTTAGATTTAATAAATTTTATTGTATCTAAACAAAGAACAATAGGTAAAAAGGGCCGATTCTGGCCCATCGTGGGGAACAGACAAAACATATCATTTCCAGAGGATTTTGATCCGCTGAATATGATGCCGTCATTAGTTTTCGTCTAAAACCCGGGGAACACGTTTCCTAATCCGAAAATCTATCATCCAATAATCGAATGACTCGGGAAGCTTTTGCGTAAACTTTGAAACTATTGCAAACTCGTGTATTAGCCAGATTAACTGAAGACAGTTTAAATTTTTGATTTAATAGAATTATTTTTGATTTAATAGTTGAAGGTGTTTTCTTTTTATGTAAAATTTACTATAACAAAGAATACACACGGTGTCACAGACCATCCGTACTACCCGATTCTTTTGTAAACGCGATATTTTAGGGAAAAATGTTTCAGACAAAAGTTGTATGATTTCAAAGGGGATATATAGGATGTCCCATTTTAAAAAACGCACCTCGATAATTCTTCAACGAAGTATTTTCAGCAAAAATATTTCGGACAAAAGTTGTATGATTTTAAGGAGGACATGAAACAATTATACTATTTTGTTTATAAATGGCACCACTTTCGAGATATTCACTAATTATTACTTTTCTTAAATAGAAGTCTTAATTTTTTATTACACCATCTTTTTTCATCAATTAATTTAAACAACTTTTTCCTAAAACATTTTTTTATTTGCCTAATATTTTTTGAGATATTTGAGGAAAACTTGATAACTTTTTCAATATTTAACTTACGATATCTCGCTAATTATTTGTCGGAAAAAAAGTCGTGTTAAACTTTCTTGCTTTATTAGTCTCAAGAATATATTGTTACAATAGCACCCTGACTTTCGTTAACTTACTGATTTTTGGAAATTTAAAAATCACCAAATTAACAAAAATCAGGGCACTATTGTAACAATTATTCCCGAGACTAAATAAAGCAAGAAAGTCTAGTACCACTTTTTCTTCCGACAAATAGCGAGATATCGTAAGCTAAATATTGAAAAAGTTATCAAGTTTTTCTCAAATATCTCAAAAAATATTAGGCAAATAAAAAAATGTTTTAGACAAAAGTTGTTCAAATTAATTAGTAAAAAAAACAGTGTAATAAAAAATAAGGATTCCCATTTAAGAAACGCAAGGCCTCCAAATGACCTTGAAGGTCATGGCCAAGGTCAAATTCAAGATCACCATCAAGTCCGTTATTCGATTTTCTACAACTTTTATATCAAGCATTTTTTTCTATCTCGAAAACTGTGGGAGTTATTCAGGTGGCCTATTTTAAGGGCCCTACCCTGTATATGTACTGTATATGTTCACCGTGACGAGTCCTGCTAGCCTAAGATTTATGCAATTGTTTCAACTGTGATTGCGATCTTTAAGTCATATTTATTTATGCCAACAAATGGAATATTTTATTTCGAGTTCAAAATTTTGTATGTTTAACGATTCTGCATCTTACGTTATACATCATAACTTCATAAATTACATAGGCTCTCTTCACAAAAAAACACTCCTTTTATAAAAATGTAGAGAATATACATGCAAATACATACAAATAGGTATATATTTCACTTACAAACATTTTTTATGAAATGACGTAAACTATAAGTTGCAAAAAATTGCTGATTATTATTGACGTTAATAATATCTCTCTTTTTGGAATATATGTAAATATATTTTCAATTTATAACTGTAATTGTATATATAATAGTTACAGAAAAAAAATTAATATGTCCTATGTAAATAAAAATTATACATGGCGCGGGAGAGCCTCCCAAACATCGCGCCAGAGGTAAGTCACCGTGAGGTTTTAGCTGATAAGAGTCCGGCACTACCCCAGAAAGGGGCTGGGGTGTTCGTGAGGATTTCTCCACGTAAAATAAAAAAAAAGAAATAAATGGAGAAAAAAAGATAACGTCGATCGGTATGCAATGTTAATTCGTCATGCAAGTCTATCGACGCAACGAGTTTGGTCGAAATCGATTGCTATTGGTCATCTCCTTGTCGAATCCACGCCGGGAGACAAACATCAACCTCGGCTACGTATCGAGACAAAGCGAAATGGAGCGAACATATTCTCTCTCTCTCTCTCTCTCTCTCTCTCTCTCTCTCTCTCTCTCTCTCTCTCTCTCTCTCTCTCTCTCTCTGTTTCTCTCTCACGTGGCTCGTTGAAACAAACCAAGCGTGCGGAGCCTTAAACGGATAGACGGAGTGTCATCGACGAAACGTGCAATGCTTGTGATGCGCGTATGTTGTATGCAACACATGTATTTTCTTAAAAAATAAAAAAAAATAGATTTTGATACGTGTATGTTGTATGTAATACGTGCATTTTCCTAAAAAATGAAAAAAGAAGTTGTCCAGAAAAAAGGCAACGTTGACCGCCAGGACGCGAACCACCAACGTCAACGACGTGAATCTAGCGCGCTTCCACCAAGCCATACGCTCTCTGAGAAACTGATTCTTCCTTCATTTAGTTTATGAAGAACTCGCGATTTTTAATCGTTATTTTCTTGCAAACACTACGCCGTATCTTTATATGCAATGTTAATTTGTCATGCAAATCTATCAACGTAACATGTTTCGTCGAAATCGATTACTATTGATCATCTCGTTGGATTCACGCCGAGAGGGAAACATCAGTCTCGGCCGTGTGTCGAGAAGCACAGTCTCGACAACGTTCCAAGTCAGAGCAAGATGGAGCGAACACATTCCCTCTCTTTCTCTCTCGTACATCTCTCTCATACAGAAACGTACCGCGATTGAAAAATGTTTAAGCATATGCTTTGAGATTCTCTCTGTTGCGTATGACGTGTGTGTGTGTGTGTGTGTGTGTGTGTGTGTATGTGTGAATGCATGTATGCATACGTACGTCACGCATACTTTAAATGCAACACATGTACATATATTGCACTAAAAAACGTCTGCTGGAGTATAAATAAATACTAACGTAACGCTGAAATATTTTGGACAAATAATTTTGAGTACAAAATATCATCTTATTATCATATATTTATATATCGATATAAATCATATATAATCTTTATGATATTAATCATACACAATCTCAATTCTTATTTTTTTACGCATGTTAACATATTAATTCATGTTACAAACGCATATGGGCGTACTGTACAGTGCGAGAGAAGTGAGGAAGGAAAAGTGGTGGAAGACGTTCCGATGTTGTATCTTTATCGCACGTCGCACGATCGAGAGAGAAAGCATTAACACGTGGTACGGTTAAGGGTATCCCCAATAACTGTCTCAATCACTCTACGCTTGAATGCAAGGAATATGAGTGAGACAGTTATAGAGACACCGCGCTATCTCTATAGATGTCTCGCTCGCTCTAATAACCATGTATCGCGCTTTCCTCTTTTCTCCTTAGCAGAAATGTCGATTAAGGAGAGAATCCTATCTGTAGGCTAGAAAAATAAGCTATTTTCACGAATTTTTTTTTCGGAAACTAAGCAGACGATTGATTTCAAACTTGATAGAAATAATAATATATATTTTATTGATAAGAATGAATTTTTATAACGTTATGTGAATAATAATGTAGCAAATACATAAAAAATAACGTGACATGTTTAGGCGCGCGCCGTTTCACGGTTCCTATAAAATCTCGAAATACGGAATAAATAATATTAATGTAATATTATTTATGTCCACGGACGTAAATCGGACATACGGACATAAATTGGACGTGAAACGTACATCCATTGGATGTCCGGTGCTGTCTGGGTACTCAAGTTATTCAGTATCAGATCTCGGAAATAGAAAAAGTAACTGAATCACTACATGAAATACTGGATAACGTAGATAACGCCTTGTACAAAATAATTGGTATATTTATATATGCGTTATGGAGGCTATGTTCTAAGGATGAGATCACGATACGGGAATGAGCGTGCCGGACGGAGAATGCGTGATTCGAACAGCCAATCAACGCTTTTCCGTACTTTTCTATAAATATTGCACGAAGTATTCATTATAATGACTTTTTGAGGTATACTTCAAGCTGAACTTAATTGTAGATAATTTATTAAATATTTTTCAGATATTCACTTTATTTATTCTGCAAGTATTCTTTACAATGAATTCCTTATGAACTTCCATTCACCTCTGTGCTATCTGGGATGTTTTGTTCATTCCCCACGATGGGCTAAAATCTGCCCTTTTTACTTATTGTTCTTTGTTATTTGGAATAATCCAAACGGACTAGTATTTGAATCAATAAGTTTGTTGAATTCAATTATCGAATCAATACGATTCTTTGAATTTGAAACACAAATTGAATTGTACTTGTATTATAATCTTCTTTCCTATAATATTTAACTATATCATGTAAAGTAAAGCTGCCTAAAAAGTATGTTTTCTTTTCGGCGGTAGGAAACTAAGAACACTCCTCTTTTCTTCTTTGGTTTAAATGTTTTAATAGCACAGATCTCTCGGAATGTTATCTGTACGGCGCGTCTCTTTCGCCATTCTTGCTACTTCTTCTGTCGTGAAGCGCCTCGCCGGCTCTCGCAGCGCCTCTACATCTCTAGCCGAGCTACCAATTTACCCGCGCTTTTTCAAACTGTTACTTTTAATAAAGTATAGATATCAACCTGAAATTTAACAAATTTATCATTGCAATATCATTTGCAAATAATTATTCCATTATCGTTTTATTAAATATTTTATTAAAATTCCATTTTATTAAACTATACTTAAGTATATAATTAAATAATAAGTATATACGAGTAATATATGAGTATATACGTAATAATGTATAAGTAAACTATACTTAAGTAACTAAAGTTGAATGATTATTTAAATATTTCTGTGAGAAACTTACAGCGTTTTGATACTCTTCTTGTAGAATCTTCTTATATAATTTATTAATTATAGCGGAAATGAAAATGGTTTTACTGACATCATATTTTTCCGTTTACATAATAAGTTCCATCCTCTCCCCAGATAACGTTAAGAGATGTCGTTTGGAAGCGACATCTCTAGTACTATCCCGAACGCATGGCGACTACAGAGAGAGGCAATGTTACCTGTACCAGTGGTACAAGCTGACAGTCTCTGACAGTGAGTCTGAATCAGAGCAAGACGATGATGAAAATAATAATGAAATTATTACGCATGTAGGATGGTCGCAAGATATGGTTTTCTTCGATAATGAAACTGCAAGACAAGCGAAAGTAAATATAAACGTAGGTGATAATAACTCGTATAAATACTTCTTCTCATGCACATTTGATGACAAGTTAGTGGAGGAAATTGTACTTGAAACTAATAAATATGCCTCGCAGAAGCTTTCAAACTCGCAATCCGTACAAACGAGAAAGAACACGTCTTAAGATTTGGAGAAATGGACTGATATTACTGCTTCGGAATTGAAAGCCTGGATTGGAATTCAAATTTTTATGGGCATTTATCTATATGATTATCTATATGATTATTATTTATATGAGAAGTTGCGAAGAGTAAGGCATTACTGAGGTTCTGATCCTGCTCTAAAGATAAACGTTATTGCGAATACTATGATGCGTAATCGTTTCGACAAAATTACTAAAATGATTCATATCAATAATAACACACTTCAACTCCCGAAAAATAACCCGAGTCACTATAAATTACACAAGACCTCTCATTGAAGGTGTAATCGATAATAGTGCAAAGGTTTGCAAGCCTTCAACTTTCGCTTCAGTAGATGGATCTATGATTCCTTTCAAAGGACGTTCATTACTAAAGCAGTATATGCCTATGATAAGAAGAAGCTACAAAGTTTGGTGTCGTGCAGATTCCGAAACCGGTTATGTATCGAAATTCGAAATTTATACAGGAAAATCAAATGCAAATTCTAATAATACTTTAGAAAAACGTGTTGTTTTCAACCTTATGAACGATTTACAACAAACCGGAACACTTGTTGCGTTCGACAATTTCTTCACTGCGGTCAATCTTGTATCTGAGCTCTATAAGAAGGGAATTTTTTCAGTGGAAACAATTAGAAGCAATCGAGTTGGGTTATCTGTCATGATAAAAACAAAAATTAAAATGCAAAGAGGTAAGTGATTATGATTTCAAGTAAAAAAAAATGTCGCAGCTATAAAGTGGATAGATAAGAAGCTTTTGAATAGCCTTGTGAAGCTTGTGATAAGAAGCTCTTGACCACAGCGCATAATCTAAAAGATGTAGTAGAAGTATAAAGAAAAAATAGGAACGGTACAAAAATTGCTACAACTTGTTCATCTACTGTTGTGACCTATAATAAAATCATGGAAAGTGTGGATCGATTCGATCAATTGAAAAAGCGATATGCTATTGGTAGACGCGCAACTAAGTGGTGGCATAGAATTTTTTATTATTTGATTGATTTAGCAATTGTAAACGCCTACATTGTATAAGATTAAAGAAAAAGTGTCTGCTCAAGAGCAACTATTGTACATTTCCGCCTCAAATTGGCAAAACAACTAATCGATGGATATAGTTCTCGAAAACACAAAGGACGTCGACTTTTATTTCAAGGACACAAAAAAATATCAGCACTCGATGATGTTAGAAAAATACAGGGATATATATGCCTGAAGAATCAAATACATGACTACGAGTCGTTTGTGTTCAATAAATGGAAAAGAAAGAAGAACGGTTTGTTTATGCACAAAGTGTAAAGTTCTACTCTATCCCATTCCGTGTTTCAAAAAATTTTACGAAATGTGAATAAAATATTAGATATGACTATATTAAATCTGAAAATTTTAACTTTAGATTCGTTATCAGTGACTCAAAAAACCCTTGAAAAATGAGTTTTACTCGAATTCAAAAAAATTTCACATTTTGATCTGCCATATTGAATCCGCCATTTTGAAATTAAGTAGCAATTTTGTTTCATATAGCACTTACGTTGACCTTCAAAATGAGTCTAAGAAGAATTTGCTATCTTAATTTTTGTGGAATATATATATATATTTTTCACTTTTATCCTATTTTACGAGTATTTGTCGAGATATGCAGATTGGAAGATGAAACTAACAAGGGTGTTGATTTTTGTGTGAAGAATCCTATCTTTCCTCTTTAAAATCAGCTCAAGAAGAAATCCCTATCTTTAGTTTTGTTGGAGATATGAATTTTTAAAGTTCTGGGATATATATGTCTCACCAGGCACGAAAGGGTTAAGACATTTGAAAATTAAGTATTTGCTACAATATTTATCCATTATTGTTTCAAAATGTTGAAATTAGAAATGATCATAGTAAATATTGTTCATGTGCATCAAAGAAGTGAATTGCAATCATTATAGTTAAATCTTTCCAATAAATTTCAATGGAATAAACTTTAAAATATAAATTATTAATATAATTTGCTGTATTATGATTACAGGCAACCGAGTTCCGCAACGATGGGTGTTCGCTGTTATGGGAGTTTTAGCTGTACTGAACGCGTATAGTATGAGAGTTTGTCTTTCGATCGCAATAACGGAAATGACCGTGGTAGATAATAAAACTCATAGCAACTCAGATAATACTTGTCCAATACCGGACGACGTTAAAGATGAAGAAAAAATAATCACCTCTAAACGATATCATTGGAAAGGAGAGACAACGGTATGTAAAAAACGACTTATTTAAAATTTATTAAAGTTTAATATTTAGTTAAATTTATTATTTAGTCATTGAAATATATAGTAAAGTTCAAACATTTCCGGTTCAAAGATATAAACATGTAATAAAATGTGAATTATTTTTGACTTTTTAATTTTTAATTTTTAATACATTTTAAATCGCTTTTTATTTCCATACTTAGGATAGTTATAATAGTTATGTTTATAATATTTTATATTTTTATTTAAAAATAGTTATATTTTATAGTAATAGTTCTTTATTGATAGTTACTTTTTAGAACAGTAAATTAATTTTTCATCCCATTAAAAACATATTTTGAATTCATGTTTTTATAATTGTTTAATACTACGAAGGTTATTTTTTTTGCTGATAACCATGCATACTTTAATATCAAAAATAAAAATTAATCACTTGGAGATAATAGAGGAATTACGTAAATGTAAAATATTAATTTAGTTTAAATCTTGTAGGTAAGTTAGGAATCTCTTTAAAAGAAAAAATCTATATTTTACTTAAGGGGGCATATACGTTTATCAGTTTCAAAAAATCGATTTTTTGTATTATGCATTTTTCGACAGTTTGAATCTTCAAGAATGTTGTTCTAAAACCGTTTTTTGAAATTTCAATAAATAAAGAAATTACAACGCATTTTGTCGGGCAATGCAGAAGTGTGCGCCTGCCCTTTCTGAAGCGGCGCGCAGATAGAATGATTGGACTCTTATATACAATGGTTTTTTTATCCTATTACAATATAACTTATCTCTGAGATTGAAATATAGGTATTTTCTAATAGATGGCTCTATAAGCATTGTTTCAAGCTGTTCTCAAGCCGTTTATTCATTTGTTATTTATTTTGTTTATTCATTTGTTTAGTCATTAGTTGGCGTCCGTTGCGTGATACGAACGATTACCGTTTCTTATAGTTTTTTTGAGCACGTGTCACGATGAATAAGTGTAAAAGTTCTCGAGAGCCACAGCGAGAGAATAAATTTCAAAAAGATTTTACGCGCAAGCGAAAAATGCCGCCCAATAGGTGGCAAACCGAAGGTGAAACCGTAACGACCGAAAACTCGACGAAGAAACTGTAGGGACTCAGCGATATACTTATACCTGAAAACGACAGTTTGAATTACAGAATTTTGAACTTCAATTTGATGTTTGCTGAAATTTCGCAGCTTGTAAAGTGCAAACAATGTGGCGGTAACGTTCGATTTCAAACGAAAAGCACGCGAGGGCTGGGCTTCAAGATTTTGGTGTTGTGTAAAGATTGTCAGCCAACTGGAATTCTTTCGTGCCCGAAAATTAGTTCGGCGTATGAAATTAATCATCGATTTGCTTTTGCGCTGCAGTGTTTAGGCCATGGGTCAATGGTAAATGCAAATTTTGCGGTTTAATGGACTTTTCTCCTCCTGTCGCTCAGAGTACGCACAACAAAATCCAAAAAAATATTTACACAGCATCTAAGGCGGCCGCTGAAGTATCTATGCGGAGTGCAGTCGAAGAAGAGCAATTACGAACAAGCTTGGAAGAAGAAAAAGAAAATGTTATCGAATTAACTGTTTCGGAGGATGGAACGTGGCACAAGCGTGGATTTTCTTCTTTGTTCGGCATTTCCAGTCTTACAGGCGTGCATTAAAAAAAAAAATCATCGACATCAATGTGAAATCGTCTTATTGCAAACAATGTGAAGTATGGGCAAAGAAGGAAGGCAGCGAGGAGTACGCCGATTGGAAGAAAGAACATGAAAACAACTGCCATCTCAATCATCAAGGTTCAACAGACAAAATGGAAATAGACGTCGTCGTAGAAATATTCAAAAAATCGGAGGAACAGTACAATGTGAGATATACCGACTATATCGGCGACGGCGATTCGAAAACATATAAAGGTATTGTTGAATCGAAACTATACGGAGAAAAAGTGCAAATGAGGAAAAAGGATTTCAGAAGCGAGTAGGCAGGCGACTTCGACAATGCAAAAAAAATCACAAAGGCATTGGAGGCAAAAATAAGCTGACAGCGAAGATGATTGACAAACTTACCCCCTACTATGGTCTTGCGATTCGAAGAAATTTTGATTCGGTAGAAAGATTGCGAGATGCGATATGAATTACCTTTTACTATTACAACTCGTTTACGAAAAATCCGCAACATCAGCTCTGTCCTGAAGGCTCCGTAATGCGAGTGGCAAAAATCAAAGGCTAATGGTACTTTGCATAAATACGAGCAAAGTTATAAAACTTTACCCGACGATGTTTTAAATGCAATCCACCCTATGGCTATGCCCAATCCACAGGGTGTCCCATTTTACCCTATACAGGGTGTCCCACCCCAAATAACTCTTCAGTATTGAAGTTTCAAGGAAAACGATCTGAATAAAAGTTGTAGGGATTTAAGTGAGCTACCTTATGATAACCTTGACTTTGACCTTGACCTCTATTTTCAAGGTTATTTGAAGGTCAACTTGCGTTTTTTAAACGGGAACCCTTATTTTTTATTAGACTGTTTTTTTCTACTAGTTAATTTGAACAACTTTTGTCTAAACATTTTTTTATTTGTCTAATATTTTTTGAGATATTTGAGGAAAACTTGATAACTTTTTCAATATTTAACTTACGATATCTTGCTAATTATTTGTCGGAAGAAAAAATGGTACTAGACTTTCTTGCTTTATTTAGTCTCAAGAATATATTGTTACAATAACACCCTGATTTTTGTTAATTTGATGATTTTGAAATTTCCAAAAATCAGTAAGTAATTCAATAAAAACCCGTCTACATACATATACACACACAGCAGAGAGGGTTTGAAATAATTAAATATTGCGGGAGAGACGAACCGCGGGGTCCTTATTTCTGCTGCACACACACACATACACACACGCGCGCGCGCGCGCGCACGCACATACACACACGCGCGCACATACACACACGCGCGCACATACACACACGCGCGCACACACACACACACACACGCGCACGCGCGCGCATACATATATAGGGGTGCAAAGTCCGACCATGCGACCTCCACGTGGTACATCCTGGATAATACTAATGCTGACGGTACCGTAAAAAGCTCATAACTCAGACAATTCTCAACAGAAATAGGTTATCAAGTAGTGTTTTGGAAACATCTCGCTATCATCTTCAATATTGTGTGATAAAAAATTGGGTATTCCATTTAAAAAAATTATGTTGGCTTTGACCTCGCCTTGACTTCTTCACTCAAGATCAAACGAATATGATTATTCAATAGAACATTTAAAACTCTACAACTTTGGTTCGAAATATTTTTCTCAGAAACGCTTCGTTTTCGAGATATTTGACCGTTTCCAGACTTTTCTAACATCCTGTATACAAAATAAAATATTTTAATGCATCACCCAAATTACTTTTCATTTTGAAAAATATTGTTAAAAATTCTTTAGTTTCAAGATAAATATAAAATTATGACTTTACTTTGATCTTGTTATCTATCTATTTACTTTGATCTGTGTTATTCTATTAAGCTCATATTACTTAGATTTTTCTAGAGTAATATAAAAAATTAAATGAAATATTTTTATATGTTTATTTTTATTTGTATTGAAACTTTTTATTGTGTAAACAGGGCATCATTCTGTCATCCTTTTACTGGGGTTACGTTATTACGCATCTGCCAGGCGGAATGTTAGCTGAAAGATTTGGTGGCAAGTACTCCCTCGGCCTTGGAATACTATCTACTGCAATATTCACACTACTGACACCGGTAGCAGTTGAGTGGGGAGAAGCAACCGCCTTAATCGTTTTGCGGATTCTCATGGGACTAGGTGAGGGTACGACCTTTCCAGCATTGAACGCTATGCTTGCACAATGGACACCGCCAGAGGAAAGATCGTTAATTGGTTCATTGGTGTTCGCTGGAGCTCAACTCGGCACGGTGTTCGGTACTTTGATATCTGGTCTGATTCTTCATTACTATTCATGGCCAGTTGTATTTTATGTGTTCGGTGCACTGGGCGTGCTGTGGTTTATTATATGGGTTTTAACCTGCTACAACAATCCGTATGAGCATCCCTTCATTTCCGAACGGGAAGTAAAGTATTTACATGAGCGTATGAGCGAGCATACTCATAAAAAACCACCGTCAGTACCATGGCGACATATGCTGAAGTCTGTACCACTTTGGGCACTAGTCGCCGCCCAGGTTGGCCACGACTGGGGCTTTTTCACTATGGTAACTGACCTGCCTACATATATGAGCAATGTACTTCATTACTCCATTAAAAGTAATGGTTTTTATTCGTCGTTACCGTATCTTATGATGTGGTTCAGTAGTCTGCTAACATCCTGGCTGGCTGATTGGATGATCACCAAAGGTGTTATGTCATGTACGAATGTGCGAAAACTCGGCACGACAATTGCCTCGTTGGGCCCAGGAGCATTTATCATTGCTGCCTCATATAGTAAATGCGATCGAACGGTAGTCGTCATTATGTTCACCGTTGGCATGACTTTGATGGGTGTGTATTTGCATATCTTTTGATATATAAGGAATTCCCGCTCTTTACAAAAAAGAGAAGGACTATTATTGTTTTGTATATATAGAAATCCTAATATTTATTTGTAGGAACTTTTTACCCTGGAATGAAAGTCAATGGGCTGGACCTTAGTCCTAATTATTCTGGCACTCTAATGGCGATGGTCAATGGAATTGGTGCTGTCACTGGCATTATAACGCCATATATTGTTTCTGTGCTTACTCCTGACGAGACTTTAAGTCAATGGCAACTCGTCTTCTGGATCGTCTTTGGTGTCTTCATCGTAACGAATCTAATTTTCGTTTTGTTCGCTAGCGGCGAAGTTCAATACTGGAATGACCCCGAGTTCGTCATACGAGATCGGGAAAGACGATGGCGCAAAACAGAGGGCGAGGCACCAAAGAAATCGAATAAAACTGCAACGTAATGATCCTTTGTTATTTTATTTGAATGTATTTTAATAATTGTAACATATATCACATTGATTATCATAATAATGTTATATTTAGTGGTTTTCTTTCATCTGTTTTCTTTCATCTTAAATGACATGCGATAATGCTTGATGTAAAGAATTGTTACATGCATATTTTTGTGAACAATATCATTACATATCCACAAAACGTACAACTTACCACTTTTATTTGGCGTTTTAAAAGAATTAGTAATTACGGATTATAATAATTGTAAATAATACTTATTATATAAATTATTATTAAGTATATACTGATATCGTATTATTATTAACTATTCGAATGCATTCGAAACCATCTCGCGGATTACCTATCAGCAGCTCGGTAGCATCTTCCTAGGAAAATGTGCTTTATAGCGTGATATTAAATAATGTAATTTTGAAACTAAGTAATTTATTGTAATGATATTTGGTTTATATTAATCTTTACATATTGAAGAACATATTTATGACAAAAGAATCAAAATTTTATATTTTATATTTTTCTAACGTGTGGTAACGTATGAAGCAGTTACCGATATGCATTGCAAGTTCGTTAATACATATTATACAATAATAATTTGTTTGACGTCTTTCACCTGTTGTCTTTCTATCTGAGCAGACAATGTAATGTCTCAATTTCTTCCTCCCACATTGAGAATATGTAATTTATTGTTCAGTCTGTTCTCTTTCTACGTAAACCGGCTGATACCTTTTTACATATATCTCAGTATACAGGATGTGTACCAAAAGTCTGGAAACGGTCGAATATTTCATAAACTATGCATTTTAGAAAGAAATATTTCAGACAAAAGTTATTTGGTTCGAGGGAGGGCATAAGGTGGTGTCATTGGATTGACCTTGAGTGAACGTTCCAAGGTCATACGGAGTTCAATTTCGTTTTTTTAAATAGAACTCTCTATTTTTCATTTCATATTTTTATAGCTCATCTCGAGAGCTTTTCAAAACATTATAAATAAGTTATATTTTATTGAGTATTTTCCGAGTTATAGGGCTTGAAAGTTACAATACTGCCGGCATTAGCCAAGGTGTACCGCGTGGAGGTTGTACGATCGGATTTACACCTCTTGTGTATGTGTGTGTGTGTGTGTGTCACAGCAGAGATAAGGACCCCACAGTTCGTCACTCCCGTATTTAATGACTCCAAATCCTCTCTGCTGTGTGTGTGCGTATGTGTGTGCGCGCGTGCGTGCGTGTGTGCGTACGTGTGTATTATGTGTGTGTGTAGGGATGTGTGATTTAGTTGAGTAAATGTTCAAATTGACCTCCGTCTGCTATTTGACAATGGCCTAGCCGTAGATAAAAATTATGTGAAACATTTTGTCTCATCTCTACCGTGGTAAGATGGACTTGGTATATTATACGTTCCCTAAGGTCCGTAAGGTTTTGTTTTGTATATTGTTTTTAAAATATCCCCAAAACAAATGATCGAGGAAAATACAGAAGAAAGATCTGGTGATCTAGCAGGCCACTCTATTTGACCACGTCTCCTATCCATTAATTTGGAAAAGTATTACTTAAAATTTGCCATACTGCTACTGCATGGTGTGGCCCTGTACCATCTTCATCAAAATCCGGAGGAGTAAGGTCGAGTAATCTTGGTGGCCACCAAACTGGATCATCCCTATCTATTTATTGATGAGAGAAAGTGGCACCGAGGTGATTCTTCACAACCCAAGCACTGTGAGCCAATGCCCCATCTTGTTGAGACCACATGCTTTCTCGCGTGGCCAAGGGAACTTCTTGCAGAAGCATCGGCAATCTATTCTGCAAGAAGTCGGAGTATCTTCCAGCATTTACCGTTCCCTCAAAAAAGTGTGGACCTATGAATATTCCATCAACGATCCCGCACTACACATTCAAATTCCACCGATGATGATGATCGATCTGCCTAATCTACCGTGGATTTTCAACAAACTAGTAGCGACTATTCCATCGGTTCAAGTGCGTTCATCTGTTGAACTCATGACTGAAGAGGAAATATCTGAAAATGTCCGGGTCAAGCTCATCAATTCGTCTCAAAGCCCATTGGCAAAATTCGACACAGTGTAACCTGTCTGGTTTTGTCAGACTTTGATGTAACGATATCCGGTAGGGATGATGTTTCGTTGCCTTCAAAATTCAGAATGCGGTAGACCGTGCATTTCCCAAGTAGCATTCCATTTCCCGAAGATTTACTTTGGAATTAAGATTAACCATCGCAAGAACAGCATGTCTATATGCCAAAATGACCAGCAACATCTTCTTTGATGTTCGGGCGACGTCGCTTATGCACTAGCTGCCCACGTCGAACCCTTCTTTCTATCTTCAAAATAGTCATCGCCGATGGGTATCGATGTTGAGGAAATCGGCAACGATAAAGCAACACAGCTCTGCGATAATTTCTTTCACTTCTCCTAAAGCAAAAAGTATATTAACAACTTCGTTTGGGGTAAAATCAGGCATGACATAGTCCAAATCTTTTGTCCCACAAAAGTAAAATATTTAGGCTTGCATTCCACATGACAAGGATGTAGTATCTTGCACGATAACTTTACTGACAGGGAAAGTGGCATCGAGGTGATTCCCGAAGGAAAGTAAGCTATGATGTACAAATCCGACCGAGCAACCTTCCCGCGGTACACATCGAGTAATGCAAATGCCGGCGGTATATCAACTTTGAAGCTTCATATCTTGGGAATGACTTACGAAAAAGATAAAAGTAGGTAGTGTTTTGGAAACATCTTGACAAGGGCTATAAAAATATGTAATAAAAAATGGGGAGTCCCATTTAGGATTCTAAAGTTGACTTTTACGTGAGCTTCAAACGACAATTCAAGGTCAAGCCAAGGTCACCGTAAGATGTCTCCCTCTGAACCCTAAAACTTTTGTTTGAAACATTTTTCAATAAAATCATTAGTTTGCGAAATATAGCACTGTAAATTTCAAAAATGGACACCCTGTATATAGTAAAAATAAAATATTACTAAAATTCATAGTTCATTCTCCTTCCTACCGACAATAAGTAGGGCCAGGCGCCCACAACAATAAATAATCTATAAATGATTTATTAATTATTCTGACTTAATATATATATATATATAATTATTATTATTAATTAAAAGTTATTATTATTAATATTATTGTAATATGATTACAATACATTTTTATAATAACACAAATAAAATAATAAGGAACTACCTAATAAATACCAATTAACAATTAATGCAGTGTTAATAGATCTATTCATTTTAGTTGAATTGGCTGTACACTAATGCAATAAGTTAAAATAAAATCAACTATATATCTATTTAATTCTAATTTATTCAATTAGGGTGCATTAGTTCAGTTAGTTCAGCTCAAACAAACAAGCCTAATGTTATTTATTACTTGTTAATGTTATGTATTTCCATTATAATTTTTCTAATTATATTTATAAATAAATGATTTTTTTCTTATTAATAAATGACTTATTTCTTATAAATGTAAACAATTTTTTGCCATGAGTGTTTTATATTCAACTCAGAGGGCACTAATTTTTTAGGGACATCTTAAGGACATTCTAAGAACGTCTTTAGAATATAAGAACTTCTTCTGGATGTTTTAGAGTATTCTTTGAATATTTGTGTTGTCTAAGAAGGTATTTATCTTAGAGAACTATTATGCAACTGTCTTGAAAATTACAAATTTATATTTCTTCCTACTTTTTCAGCAGAAAGTAAAAAAAGATTTAACTAGAATTCTTTCCGGACAATTTCATAATAATTTCCTTTCCTTTTCTTATAAAGAAATAACCAGTAAAAGTAAAATACGGTAAGAATAAATAATAATTCTCTTAAAAAAAGATTAAATATAATAATCTGTGTATAAGAGAAAATTTATATTAAAATCAATCAGATTTACATTATAAATATTATGTAAGCGAGGGCGTATGAAGTCAAAATCAAAGCGAGTTTCTGAGAGGCAGCAAGTAAAGGAAAAGGAAAAGAAATATGAGGATCGCAGAGCGTGAAGAGAAAACAAAGGCTCTAAGTTTAGATATACATAATATAATTGTCACAAGGCGTAAGCGTGGTTCTCCAAATGTTCGAAAGCTTCTCCCTCCGCCCGAAAATTGCAGCGTTTATATTTCATCATTCCGTAACTTTCTATTGGTCCACATCTCCTTTAGCTTGAAACATATCTTATCATTGATAATCTAAACAATGGCCGCGTTCAGCAGACAAAGCTGCTTATTAAGCGCTTAGTGATTATTAACTATGATTGGAGTATTCTTTTAGATCTTTAACGAATCCAAGGGAATGAACCAATCAGGAGCGATAATCACTAAGCGCTTAGTAAGCAGCTATTTCTGCTGAACGTGGCCAATAACTCGAGACCGCTGTTTCGCAACATTCTTTCTTGCAGGCGATGAGTCACGCCGAGATGTTTTTCCGTTTTCGACGATCCGTCTACGCACAATCTAACGTTTGTTTTCATATTTTCGTCGTTATCTGTTTACATATATAACGTATAATTCCTCTAACTTTAAGAATATAATATGTTTATAATATTTTTCTCTTAATTTTAGAGGAATCCTTTTGAGGCTATATATAAGAATAAAATCCTCTAAAATTTAAACGATTCCTCTTGTTCTGAAATTACTTTTTTGGGTGAATCCTATTAAACATTTATGGGCAGCATGCTGAAACGAAGAATAAGAAAACATAATACTCAAACGTTAGCAGCACTTCGCTTTACAAAAAAGTAAACCTTCGCTTTACAATTCCCGTTATATTTTAGCCGTATCCGTTTTCAATGCAGCTACGTTGTGGCGGATGTTTGCTATATCTGCGGTTTCTAAATACATCTCTAATCAGATAATCATTTTCGACACTTTCCCCTCAGCTATATCACGCGATTACAAGCAGTCGATACATTTATCACAATCTGATATAAAAGCTTGTTATTAACATTCGTTCACCGTGGAACGTCGGCTGCTACTTTGCTAACTTCCTCCATCGTTTCTCTATATTCGCGGAATGGTACGGTCGTTTCGTCGGTCGCTGCGATTTCTACTATTACCACGGGTTCTCGTGTAACATCTGCACGATTATCAGCAGTAGCTAGATTATTTTTAATCTAGCCTCCATTTTTTATTGTATCTTTTTCTACTAATTAATTTGAATAACTTTCGTCTGAAACATTTTTTAATTGCCTAATATTTTTTGAGATATTTAAGGAAAACTCGGAAATTTTTTCAATATTTAACTTACGATGTCTCGCCAATTATTTGTCGGAAGAAAAAATGCTATTGTACTTTTTTATCTCTATTCTGTACTTTGTCTCAAGAATATATTGTTACAATAGCACCCTCACTTTTGTTAATTTGATTTTAAAATTTCCAAAAAACAATAAGTTAACAAAAGTTATAGAACTATTGTAACAATATATTCTTGAGACCAAATCGAGTAAAAAGGTCTAGTATCATTTTTTCTTCTGACAAATAGCGAGATATCGTAAGTTAAGTATTGAATAAGTCATCAAGTTTTCCTTAAATATCTCAAAACATATTAGGTAAATAAAAAAATGTTTTAGACAAAAGTTATTCAAGTTAATAGGTAAGGAAAAAGTTGATATAATAAAAAATGGGGGTTGCTGTTTAAAAAAAAGTTGACTTTGACCTGACCTTGGCAACGCCACTTAAGGTCAAACTGATAAGATCAGTAAATACACCGTTTTGAGACTTATAACTTTTGTCTCAAACATTTTTCTACGAAACTTATATCTTTCGAAATTTTTAAGAGTTTTCATCTTTTTTCCTCACCCTGTATATAGATTGCTCGAGTTGTTTAAGCGCCAATACCATAGGAGTTGAGCCGTCTACGATGGGTTCTATAAATATAATAATTTCAGTTTCGATGTCTTTCTCAAGACTTATTCATTGCTTCACACTCTTTGTTACTTTCAAGTCATTCTCAGCTGACGGTTGGATGCAAAATAAATTAAATGGTAAAATAAATTAAATTCAGTAAATATAAAAAAATATATAAAACTCTGAGATATTTTTCTCTCGTAAAGCCTGTACTTCGCAAATACCATTGTAAGTACTTCAACGGTTGTATCGTCAGTTTATGGTGTTGGTTGGGATATTTTGCCGGCACTGTCGGTAACGCTACAAACGAAGGGAAGACCCCGGCTTCAAGGACGCCACCATCGTCTGCAACAGTCCTCGCGTAAATGCAGTGAAACATAATCGGTGTATATTGTTGATTTAGTCGACTTACGGCTGAATTTAATCGTACCTTAATACGTTTTGCATTTTCGCCGCGATATTCCATTTTAGTAGCTTGCAAATCCATTTGATGCAACAAGACTTGAAGGAAATTATGAAGGATATTGAAATTAACCGCGCCGACCTGAAACCGATAATTTCATCAGTTTCATTGTCTTATGTGGCATTGGTAATTATATATTTCGTTATCGCTTCACTTCTGGCGTTCCTAGAGCAAGATCAAGCAGCTGTGAAAGAGAGACTTGCAGGCTGACGATATCCGCGTTATCAACAGAAGGTAATTTCTGCGCAACAGCCGTAGTTATTTTCCACGCAACTATCGATCTCTTAAGGATTATTGATGAGGATCATAATTAATTGTAACTTTCCATTTGTGAAATGTTTGGTTACTCGACGAGGTTGATCGAATTATCAACTTTCAAAATCGATTGCGCCTTGTGTACCTACATTCATACCTTATTCAGCAAGGGTGGTAAAGTTCCGTTCACATATTCACAGTTGGCGCCACGAATACAATCGACAAGTAGCGTACCTCCTTTGTGTTTGCATCATAATATATTTTCTTTAATTTTCTTATTTGTTCTTAAATCTTCAAGTATTTTATTATCCACCTTGTTTGTTATATTCGCAAGTAAAATGGTAGGTTTAGCATTATTGATATATCTTTTATCACCCTTTTCTCTTTTCTCACGTTCTTCATTAAATTAATATTTAAATAATTATAATAATTAGCATAGATGAATATGTTTCATACAGATAATAATTCATAAAATTTCATAAAATTCAGATAATAATTCATAAAACTTTCGTACACCATTAGTCACGATAAGGAGAACAGACGACATCAGCAACTTCAGGAAAAATGTCCCTTGCAATGCAATCCATATATTATTCCATAAGCATGTTGCGAAAATCGTGAAGAATTCATCGCCATAATATACATCCGTCCACGTGTCTTTCAATCATCTCCGTCGTTAATCATACATACAGCGACGATGCGGCGCGTTAATGAAACAATAATTCATCGCGCGTCGTTTCTCCGCCAACAAGCCCGGTTTATCTAACTGCACGTGGTCGGCAGGCCGAATCGTGAAATAGAATCAAGGTAGCTATACTACCGCAGATTACATCGAACCGTATATATTTTATCGAGTCCCCGGATATGATATTCTCGAGCGCTTCCGTTAGCCAGATACGATCAACGTCAGCTCGATCGTGTATTTATATCGCTCTCACATATCCATCGTGCGACGATGATGAATCTTCCGGCAGCGGTGCCAGGAACGGAATTAAAATCATCGTATTTCCTAACCAAGTTTATCGGGCAGCCACGAATCAGGGATAATACGAGTAAGTGTTATCCGAGTTTGCGATAAGAGTCGGGTAGATTTTCCGACTCTGCGGAATCGATATACCTTTATAATCGATCATCCTCGCGCTTGTTAAAGAAACTTTCGGGAACTTCGACGTGTCTGACAAAGCGGTAATCTTGAAGTATCGGGTTACTCGATAAGTTTGATTCAATTTTCGATAAATGACGTCGATGTAATATGAATAACAATATCGACAATGTTCAATGTTCATAACATTACATTACGTATTGCAATAAATATGCTAAAGTGGTGAAATGTTAAAGAGGAGCGACACCGTTGCGACGAATGATTACTTGATTGATGAATAATTTGTTTGGATTGAGTCAGCCGAGTACAATTCGATAAAGTCAAATTTAATAAAAAAATCAAGCCGAAAGAGAAATCGTTTTTTTTTTTAATAATACGATGATTAATTACACATTGTAACAATAATCAATCGCTGACTATTGTTGATGAATTGAATTTATGTCTCTTCTCTTAAGATCTGACGAAATCTGAAGGAGCTACTACTGTTTCGCGCATGAATGATTCAACTGTGGTTACGCTACATCCGTATAGCTGCGTTCTCGAATTACCCGTGATAAAGCCGACATCGGCGGTGTTTGAGTTACGTTGTTTGATCGCCGGACGAATGTTTAGCCGTGAGTAATGTCAGCATTCTTGACGGCCGATATCTAGCCGGACATCTCGACATTCGATAGCACAGCCGGTAACGCCGTCCGTATGATTTACTCGTCAGTCACAGGTGAGAGACAACCTCTTTCCGTCTTCTTTCACGATTCCACCGGCGGCCGTCTCGACCGTTGCGATCGCAAGATGATGTACACGTTGAAGGGCTGCTACGTCGCGTGGCTAACTACAGTGAGTGTGCGAAGGACATAATTTAAAAATGTCGTTTATACTTCGTGTCGAAATTAACGTGTTGCATCGCTCCGCAAATATATTTGTGTCTTTACCCTTCATCTATTCGTGGCAAAGTTAATCTTGCTGCATTCACCTCTTATGTTTAACTAATACGCTCCGCTTAAAATATTCAACCGAAATGTTCACAGTCACAGTCACTATCGTCGCGCGGATTTCGCGTACGGTTCGGATCGTGTACCGCAATCATTCCACGATTGCCCCGACATGGCATCAGCTCGAAAGCATGGCGAACGCGCCATTCAAAATGCATCGAACGATAATTTTCTATCCGCAGCGGTCCCCCCAGGGGACAAGTCTAAAAAATATCGGGCTACACCCGCCTCAGCTTGGATGAGCGACGCCGATATGCCGTCGGTGTAAATACGAATCTCTCGTCGGACGAATATTCGCGATATCTGCAGCTTGAATCTCCTTTCAGTTCCTTCTGTTCGTTCTGAGTCACGGTGAACTATTCGGGCAGCAGATGCAGCGGCAACAACAGCAGCGATACAATCCCGCGGTACCGCCACTTCCGTGGCATCTCGCGCCACCTTGGGAGTACATAGTTCGCGAGATTATCCTCAAGTCGGTCATCCCGTCGCCGGCGGATGCCGACGCACCCCACAGGCGTCCGCTGGACGCTTCCTTCTACGGCGGTCCGGTCGCTGTGTACTCAAGCGACGATGTGAATGTCGTTCTGTCGCGCGGTAACGTCTATCACCTGCTCAACGGCCACTGGATGCTGTGCCAAGACGGATGCGTCGACTGCGAGCCGTGCGTCGCGCAAAGGAATCCCTCATTCAAATGGGCCCTGCGGAGGATTAAGCGGCTGCCGGCCTCCGACCCGCCGCGGCACGATCTCCAGCTAACGATAACGCCGCAGGCGGACGCCGCAGGCCACTTCCACGCCAGCAATCTCTGGCCGAATTCCTACGTCTACGTGACGTCCCCGGGAGAACGAGCGTTCCCCGCGTTCAGGACGCACCAAGACCACGAGCTGAATCCCTCGGCCAGTCTGGAGGACAGTTTTTCACGGCAGCATCATCGCTCGAAGAATCCTTGGCGGCTGACAGGACGGAACTCGATCGCCGCTCAAAACGAGACCTCGCGGCAAGATGGCCGTGCTGGCGATTCCCAGGAGAACGCAAGCACCGAGAAGACCGCGCGAGAAGAGTCATCTGGGCAGAAACACGGTTTCAAGAACACCCGGCGAGGACATCGTCCTCGAGCGAGACCAGCGGAAAAACCAGCGACGAGCAGTCCGACCGTCTACGGTCCCAGCGATGTCACCGGGAGCGACGGCGCAGGAACGAATCAATCGGCGCCGAAATTGATCCTGGGGATCGATCAACGAGGTCGGAAGCATTTGGTTCACGTGGTGCCGCTGGATTTTCCGTCGACCACCGCACACCCCGCAAGTTCCTTCGCCCCCCGTCGTCTAACGTCAACGCAGTTCGCGGCGGGTCAAGCGGCGCGCTCGGACAAAAGCATTGCTGAGAGCGAGGGGCAAACTTACCAGCGGATATTCCGCAGGGTCTTCGACTCCTTGAACACGCACCGGCGATCGATCGAGAATTTCCTCCAGTCGCCGACGGACAACGTGAACGGGCGTGGGATATCTCCCTCGGGGGGTAATACGAAAGTCGTCGGGTTTTCCAGGAACAATCGTGACGCTGGTCATGTGGGTGTTGATCTCGAGGTGACGACGCGTCTCGACGGTGCATCGTTGTCATCGTCTTTTTACACAGCGGATAACGATCGGACGGGGATGTACTCAAATTATGGGAGAAGACGCGGCTACGACGGGCGGACGAAGCAGATTTTTAATAATCACTCATCAAGATATCGGGACACGGACAAGATATTATACAGTCAGCAGGCTCCGCCTGTGGGTTTGGGTCGAGGCGGAGAACGACGAAGAATACGCATGAAGCCATACTCTGTCGACAGCACGAGGCGAAACACTTCGAGAATAAATCTATCGATTTCATCGCAAAGTTCGGACGACTTCTCGGCAGTTGTTACTCCGAAAGCTGGCTCTGGAAATGGCTTAGTTACAAACTCCGCGAAACAAATCGATCTTAATGACACCTCGGTAGGTAGAGCAAGCGCGTCGAGTAACAACGATTCTACAGAATCAAGTTCGATAACGACAAATCGCAAGAACGAACAATTATTCACTTCGGAAAGCCTGGAAAGTGGCAACGCTAATCGAGATTTTAAAGTTTTGCGCCAACCTCTCAGGATAATTGTTACTACCAAGTCGCCGGCGATTCGACGGGAGCATGAAACGCTAAGTCCCACTGACACATTACCACGAACAACCACTTCGAGAACACTTGCTGGCGGTTCTTAATCAGCAGCTAGTGACAAAAAGTAACGGGGACAGTGATCAATCGTATAATGCGTTAAAGTCTAAGAAATATTACCGTCACAATTATTTAATATTTCATCCGCCTGGATATTTCAGTTGCACTTAAAAACTTTCTTTTTAATTTTGACAAGTAATATATTAATTATGTAACTCACTCAACTTTAGAATATGAAAATATAAGATAAAAGCAGACAATAAATCTTCTAACAAAGATTAATGTGTGAGTAAGGCAACAAGTAAAACGAACTTTCTCCTTTATTTTGCAATCTCTTTATTATTATTTTCTATTGAAAATAGAAATTTCAAAAAGCTTCGAGCTTACTTTCCGATAAGCTTCCAAAAGAGCTGAACAAACGGGAATCGTAAACCCACGTCGCCAACTACCGCTATATTCTGCGACCTGTATTTCGTTTTGGAAGTAGTTATCGTTCGATCACACACACACACACATACATTATTATGGCCAAGCGCTCAATGGTCCCGCACGAAGAAGTACGAGTCAATCGGAAATGTAACGTTAATTAATAATCGCATGATAATCAATAATAATCGTTGAATAAACGAACGACATTTTCGATACGTGTCGCGGGCAACCAGCTGGATAAATTGATAATTTGATAAATTTACCACCTTGAAGTTCAACATTGTTTCCAGAGTGTTCATTGCCATGATTTCCCGACCACCAAATATATACGCGTCATTTTGGTGAACGACGACAGCTGGCGATCGGCGAAAGATAACTCTACACCTTTAAAATTTAAATATTTTGATATTCTCGTGCTTTCTGTAGTTCGTCTTGAATTCTTACATCAAGAGCTGACGGACAACGCACTTTCCGCGACAAAATACATATATCAGTGCGTTGTATAATTTTATATAATATGATTTTGCAATTCCCGTCGGTTTATTAAAACATTTCGTAAGGAATATTGAAATATTTACATATAATCGAGTATTCTCTTCCTTGTCGGTATCGCATTATTTAACGTGTTCCTCTGACCGAAACGTCTTCGCGAATGTCACTGCCACAATATCACAATGAAATATCCAAAGCATCCAGGAGCAGGGTGTTGGATCAGGAAACCAGAAGAAAAGATTCTGGGGCGAGAACAGTGGTGCATCATGTATTTCGACAAGTGTGACAATTTATTTATTACACAGAATATTTTCTTAACAGATCTTAATAGATATTTAATTGACTCACTGAAAAGATGGAAATTTGACTCGGAATTTGTAATTTACCCCAAGACCGTCGTTCATAGATAATCATCAATTAATATATAATTACAACTTCATAAATCTCTAATTAGTTTTACGTATTAATAAGTACTTATTTCGTATAACGAGAAATATTGGTCCAAATATCCGAATATAATAATTCATGAATATGATCTTTTAATTAATTATACTTTTGATCAAGGATCATTAATAATTTTCACAACTATACATACTAGCCTAAAAATATTACAAGTACTGAAATTAATTTCTTTAATAATGTTTCTTGAGAGCCGTGAATTTCATTCTCATAATATGTCAACCTCTGCCACTAACATTTGCTATCTTTAGCTTTATAAAATTTTTCCTTTCTCACCTCCTGCAAATCCAAAGTCATTAGACTTTTTTACTAAAAACTTTCCGACCAATAAAATTATAATAAAAAATTTTACTCTTTTACTAATGAATCTCATTATTTATATAGGGTGTCCCATTTTATTTTCGACAATTAAATATTTCGAAAAAAATGGGAGGTATGGAAAAATGTTTCAGACAAAAGTTGTATGGTTTCAAGGGGAACATAAAATAATTATAACAGTTTGTTTACAGATGGCGCCATCTGTAAACAAACTGATATAGCTATTTTATGTCCCCCTTGAAATATACATACAACTTTTGTCTGAAACATTTTTTCATATATTCCATATTTTCGAGATATTTGACTGTCAAAAATAAAATGGGACACCCTGTATATCAATTTATATATAGCAATTATTTATTATAATATTTGCTTCACCCATATTTTCCACTTACAATTGAATAAGTTACACAATTAACACATTGCTTAACAAAATTAGGAAGATAGGTTAAATTCTGATACATATTGAAATAATTGAATATTTTTTCGCAAATGCTGTTTTTCAAATCTCTGTGTAGAGAAAACAGCAATAAATAAGCATGTCGATTCAACATCGAGATTCGGATTGTGCAGTTCATTCTCATATAATTAACTCCCGTATATGAACTATTAAAAATTCACCCCTATAGTTTAATTTCTCACTTCCAAAGTTTAACCGAGATATATTTTATGAATACTTATCCAAACAAGTACACTATAGATAAACGCGTATCAAGACAAGGTAGGAGAAAATAAATTTGCAAAAAATTAACAAGAGACGTCTAGTAAGAATTTCGCCAAGTTATGATCTTGCGCTTAAAAACGCAACGACGTAACGTCGGACGAAAACCCGTTGTCAGATAGTGCACTTTCGTAATGTATCTCGTAATTAATGTGATGCAAATATATTACTGCAGCACACTTTAACAAGCGTAAACAAGCGCCGTCGCATAAACATAGGTAAGTACATCTGGAAACTGCAAAGAGAGCACCGAAGGATACCATACGTAAGGAAGAAGGCGCGCGACGTTAGGTACGCGAAACAGGGATAGGCCGACGTTTATATTTAATTAAAGAGGATACGGGCTCGAACGCAGGAGGACAAGGTGGGTGAACGAGGAGGGCTCGGCGGGACGGGGATGAAAGGGGAGAGGGTCGGATGAACCAGGTTGTGTCGGGTGGGCAAGCGGGGCTGCTAGAGCGCGAGTCTGTGTTTCTTGTCTAATTATCTACCCTCCTGTCCCGGCCGACCTGCCACGTTCACTTTCTACGTCTAGCAGTTGCTTCCGTCCAACCCGTTTTCGTCTTATCTCTCTCGCTCCCTTTCTCTTCCTGTCTGCCGAGCTCAACTTCTCCTTCTTGATCCCACGTTTCTCTCTCCCGCCTTCCCTCTTTCTCTCTCTTTCTCTATCTATCCCGCACCTTCTTTTCTCGTTTCTATCGTCCTGACAGAGACCCCGAGTAAGACAGACGGATCTGTCCGATACACTTCCCTCGGTCGCGCGTCTCCGATTTTAACTCGTCCGCTCGTCCACGCCGATGAACGCGCCAATTGCAAATCGCCCCGGGAGGAGCGACCGGACGAACTCCCGGAAGTTTTTAATTAGATCGCCGCCGTCCTCCTCTCTTAACAATTAACAGCATTAATGTGATCAGGAATAAGATTCACCACGCGACCCGACCGTCGCGCTCTTGCATGCGCGACCACCTTGAAAGATTTTTCGCTTTTTCTCTCTTTTCTTTCTCTCTTTCTTCCCAGGGACTCTTTCCAATCGTCTTTAGCTGCCGTCTCCCCTCGACGTTTCTTGCTTGTCCTTCGGCGCTTCTTTACCTGATTCCGGTCACCCCTCATTGCCCTCCCTCTGCTGTCCCCACGCTCGAGTCCCGCACTCGGTGCAGTCGAACAGTGCAAAACGATCGAGTCGATCCCTGGCAGATTGGTTTTAACGAGTTTCCTTTCAATGCGGTTTATCGAGGAATTGCGGACGCTTTCGGCGAGCCCTAGGCGAGAGAGCCGAATACGCCAGGGAAATTTCCACAGAAGATCTTAATTAAAGACGCCGGCCGAAAAATGAGAGCTCCTCCGGATTGGGGGAGAAACGGCGTTATTGGCGCGCCGACGCGGCGGATCCGATTATCGCGCGGTCTGATCTATTAATTGTGTGTACGCAGCTTAAGAGGATTCGCGAAAGTTGGGCTGCGCAGCGTTATGGCGGTACGCGACGCAAGTAAATACGTGGACCGATCGAATTTTAGTTAGAGAGCTACTTGGCGAGATGAAACATGTATTTTAAATATCCTAGATGTGAGAAGTTCGCGACAACTTTCTCGCGGGGCTGGTCGTGGTAATATTTCCGTCTTGATGATGAATTACATACAATACGTAAATCTTGGTCATTTGATATCCTTCTTCCAAAACGATCGTACGATAAAAATATTTTTTTGTTTACTACTGTATGCGGTAAATCAATACTCTTATTTGCCAGATAGGAGACGTCATACGCAACGTGTCAACGAATACTGAGCCGCCGATGTGGCAGTGATGCGAAATATCCACCAAGCTGAGGATAACAGTATCTCTATACAGAGGGGGGAGGGGGAGAAATAAATTCGGCAGTCTAAATTCAACCTGTTTTATACGAGAGCACCCTCGCGCGCAAGTCTACTCGCACGCAACGCGGAGATAAGCGCCCAGCGTCGTAAGTCTATCGGGCTTTCAGACGGCAAGAAGTGGAGGAAGCGGAGACGAGATTGGGAGTAGGAGAGAAAAGAAGCCTGGCTTTTAACAGTAAGACGATGGAGGCCGGGACCCGTCTGATAGGAGATTGACGCTCTAGCGTGAGAGACCGACGCGCGGGTGAAAAGAAAAGGGAAACAGGGCTTACTAAACGCACGGCAGAAAGGGCGGCGGTCTCTCTTTCTCTCTCCCTCTTCCTTTCTCCTTTCTTCTCTCTCTCTCTCTCTCTCTCTCTCTCTCTCTCTCTCTCTATCTCGCCGTCGTTTTCAGATATTTAAATCCGCGCGAATGACTTCGAGAGTTCTGCTCGCGCGCGCATGGACCAGGCCGCCGCGCCTCCGCGATCCGAAATCTCGCGGGCGAAAGATTCCAGGCGTGGCGAAGCCGCTCCTGTCTGGCTGCTCGAACGAGAGGAAGAAACGTGGCGCGAACGGCGGGAAGGAAGCGAGGCGCGGGTAGGAGAGATAGGAAGAGAGTGCGGAGTGAGTTGTTCGAGCGTGACGTGTATTCTTGTCAGGATGAGACCGAAAGACGTAGTACACAGCAGACTTTACAGGAGAGACTCGCCGGAGAGGAAAAAGAAGGCGACAGGAGAGCAAGGAAGGAACCAAGGAGAAGAGCGAAGGAGAGAAATTGTGGAGAAGGAGAGGATCCCCCGTATGTACTTCTTAATGGTGTGGGTGTGTCGGCGGATGGAGGAGTAAGTTTTAAAAACATCCCGGCCGACGCGCCTCCGTGGTGCTGGT